GACTTTGGAGTTTGTGAAGAATGGGGCGGAGAAGGTGAGAAGATAAAGCCATAGACTAGACTGAGAAACGTCCGTTTCTCCTTCGGTAAAGTAGAAGACGGGAATCCACAAGAGGGAGAACAAAGAGAAATCAAGGAGTCGGGGAAAGGTGGGAGGAGGGGGTTGATTAGGAATTTAAACTACTGAATGCAAAGTGGATTATCTAAATTGTAACCCCCTACCGAATTTACAACAGAAGATTGTTATAAAATAAGCACACGGAAACGGAAGCCGAGAATCCTAGGTGGGATGTTGAGCTTTGAAGGGCCCTGTTCTCTGGCTTCATTAGCCTTTAAGGAAAGACCATCGTGATTGGTGTTGCTCTCAGTTATAAATGTGACATTTTATTCGTAGGACAGAGAAAAGCTCTCTTTCTAGCCAAAGCCAAAAGCCAACCGCCAACCAAACTCGTCGTGAGCAGGTCTGTTTTGACTCAGGACCTGCCCATGTGAGCGGAGTAAGACTGCGCTCCGCGTTTTGTTTTGTTTTTCCGCACGGGGACTTTTCAGAAGCAGGTTGCCTGGCCTTTCTTCTGAGGCACTTCTGGTGGGTTCAAATTGCCCACCTTTTAGTTAGTCATCGAGTAATGGACTGTCTGTACCACCTGAAGACTCGATCGTTCTGGTCAGAGGGCCAAAAAAAAGATCTTTGTGAACTGACCCCTAGGGAGGAATCTAAGAGACAGGTAACCATTGAAAGGGACCGCTTCATGTTGTGTATGACCACGCACGAGGCTGAGGGTCACCCGGTACTTTGCATTCACAGGGCAGCTGCAACGCACCACAGCAAAGGGTCTGAGAACGGACTTGTGATGGCTTTAATTGCTTGTAAACCTCCCAGCTGTGGAGTCCATGCTAACTCTAACCCCCGGCGGCCCTACAGCACACGGTACAACCAGCCGGTGACTTTCTGAGACGGTGACTTCACAGGTGCAGGAAACCTCGTTCTTCTCCAGTGGAGTGGCTGAGGGTTTAGAACTGCTAAATCCGTGGCTTGGAACCCAGCACAAAACCCACTATGCACCTCTAGGTGGGTTCCGACGGCTAAGCTTCTGTTGCAGATCAGCCCCCACCATCTGGGGACCTCGAAGGAAGAGCAGAAAAGCAAGACGGAGGAAACGGAAGAAGAAAGGGGTGAAGAGAATCTGCTGCTGTGCAAGGAAAACCCTCCTTTCGTTCATCGGTCAGAAGTTAAATCCCACAGGATCTTTGGGATGTCAACCTGAGGTTTCCCAGCATGCACTGGCTCCTGGAAGAGGCCGATGCCTTGCCTTGATAGGACCACAGGGGGAATAACCCTCTTTCCTGACACGGAAGCTGAGAAGGACGGGGAGGACACAGGTGTAAAATTCTCATTGTGCTATGATTACATTTCCTCGGGCTTTCCACTTGGATCTTAGACGTCTCTGAGAAATGTACAAGTTCACCTGACCCATCCTTCTGATCAGCCAGGACCCCTCTACTGGCTTAGACAATGCACGTCTCTTTCAGCCTGCATCTCAAGTTAGGACTGCTCGGCTTCTCTCTCTCTGGATTTTAAATTCCTTGAACAAGAGATCTTACCTGCATATTTCTATGTTCTCCATCTAGCAGAAAGTTTGGAACATGTTAGGCAAGTAAATTGGCATAATACTGGAATGAACTCTCTCGCTCAACCTCTTCTGCACACACACACACACACACACA